AATTCAGTGGAGGAAAGAATAGAGGAGAGGAAGGAATAATCCATCCTCAAAATGGAGGGAAGGCCATCTGTGGAGGAACTAGGATTGATTTTCATCATGATCTGAAATACCATGGAAAAGGGGTGAGCAAAAAGATGTCAGTAAAAAACAGGTAAGGTGCAAGGATGCAAGATGAATCTGAGGAATTGTGGAAAGAATTTATGGTTGTGACTGAAGGAGCTGCTTTCCTGGAGGCATTTGACCTGAGTCCTGATGTGAATGTCTCTGTGCTTTTGCAGAAGGAGCTGGGCAAACAGACAGATTGTCCATACATGTGTGCTTACAAACTGGTAACAGTCAAGTTCAAGTGGTGGGGTCTGCAAAATAAAGTCGAGAACTTTATACAGAAGGTAAGTGAGCCCTTTGAAAGGGAGACATGTGGAAATGAGGCATCATCTCCCACGTGCTCTGGCACCTCAGCTTCTGCTAATAGTGTATTCTGCTTGGTGATACTAACCTGAAACCCAGTCATGTCACCACAGGCAACACAGTCAAAGCCTCTGCCTGATACACTGCAAAGTGTTAAAGTTGGATTCAGTTTGGTTGTTCTGTGAATTGGCTATTGAACCATTTTCACTCTAATGTAAGAAGGTGATGAAGGTAAACTGGCTGTTTGGTGGTGGTTGATAGATCAGCCTGAGAACTGGGGTCATTTGATAGTCGATTTGTGGATGATGAGATGATGCGTGTATACTAGGGTTATTTTGGTCAGGGGCAAGACGTGGGTAGATACCTACAGCTTCAGTTATCCAGTGCTGATCAGCTGAGGATCTTTCTGGCAAGTGCTACAGCTCTAGTCATGTTTTCCTCTCCTATTCTGCTGCTTGAAAAACCTGTGTTAAAAAATAAGCAGATGGTGGGAAACTTTATTACTTAAAACCATGAGTAATTGGTGTCCTGAAAAGAGCTTTTTCTGCAGCAGAGTTCTTAACCCGTGAACTGCAGCAGGATGCTGGACCTGGGAATTGGTAGGTGCAGTGTTCATAAAATGCCCATGACTTCAGAGCACGGAGACTGCTCAGTGCTTAATATTGATGAAGTATAGTGCTGCTTCTGCAAAAGCAGTTCTCTGGTGATATAACCTGAAGAGAACCCTGAAGGGGAATGACTGTGCTGCTGCAGGATTTCAAATGCTTGTAACAAAAGCCCTGAACAAAGCAGTGTCTTGTATCCTTTTCTCCTGAGTGTCTCTTCAGCTACACGGTTGTGTCAAAGTAGTCAAACCGCTTTTGATGAGAGCGGGTTATCAGATGTGAAACCATAATTGGTAAAGCTGAAGTGTCCGTCCTTAATGCGATCTCTCCAAGAGGCATTGTGTACCCCTGTCTAGTGTAATGATTTTCTCTAGCTTATCTCCTATAAAATGGAAGTAAATTGCTCCTAACGAAGTAGCTTCTGCACATTTCGGGTGTGGAAAACAAGTTTAGGCCTGTTTTTAGGTCACTGTAAAAGAAAAAAAGCAAGATAAGTGCAGACGGACCCTTTCCTCTTGGTAACCTCCAGTTTTCAGCAAGGATTATCTTAAGAAATACTTTTATTCTGGTCCTCCCTTTTACTGCACCTTCAGGCCAACGATTGTGCTTTAAGTAAACCCAACCTGAAGCGCTTGGTTCAGTCGGAACACTGCTGTCAAATCAAAGGAAATTGCTAAAGCATTCACTAATTCCTTCAATGCTCTGTCTAGGCTTGGGGGAGAAAAAGAAAGCATTTCTCTGTGGATTTGAGGCTGTAGATATTCTGTTAAAGGAATACAAATGAGCTAGCTCCAGCTTCCAATTGTGGCAGCGCCACAGAAAGGTGGGCGAGGGAGCCAGTGCTTCAGTGTACGCATCTCTGACAATTGTTACAATCCGGTTAGATCCATATTAATTGCCCCCTGAGTCAGCTCCTTGTATGTTTTACTCCTCCCTCCTCCTGCTTTTGCAGCAAGAAAAGCGTCTCTTCACAAACTTCCATCGGCAGCTCTTTTGCTGGCTGGATAAGTGGGTTGATCTGACTATGGAGGACATCCGTAGGATGGAAGAGGAGACCAAGAGACAGCTGGATGAGGTCAGTGGAAAAGCAGGGCAGGTGTGGGTTGGGTGAGACACTGCTGCTATCCAGTACAGTGAGAGAGGGAAGACTGCAGCATTGTCATAGCATAGTGTGTATTGTCCTCCTGCTATTTAGGTCATGCTGCTTGTGGTTTGAATGATTGGCTATGACTCCGTTGTGCTGGCATCTCCTTCTAATCATTATGGACTTCTCCTTCTGTTTGTTATTGAGCCAGTAAATGTGTTGAACCACAGGTAATGAGAGTATGAGTGGCAATGGTTCCTCTATTGCTTTAATATCTTCTATTAGCTTTTACCCAAAGCTGAATGGTCATTTTTGTCCTCATTAATTTCCAAAAAAAAAAACAGTTCAGTAAAAGGATTTTAGCGCTTAAGTGCTATAAGCAGGTACTGGGGGTATGTACCAGGGTTTGGTAATAAGGAGTACATTGTTCTGTGATTCGTGTCCTGCACTGCACCCTTCTCTTCCTTCATGCCTCAGGATTTGTCATTACAGCTTCATGTACACCCTGCCCTTTGGATAATGGTCCCAGATCTTAGTAACCACAAATGGTCCCTGCGCGTGTGTATGCCCAAGCACTGATTTGGGATGCTCAGATACAGTTGGTGGCTTACATAAAGGAAGTAGCTTAACTTGTTCCATACCAGTAAATCCTGAGATAACATCATATGAGAATCAGCACTGGAATAATGTTTCTTCTTTCAGATGAGAGAAAAAGATCCAGTGAAAGGAATGTCAGCTGCAGATGACTAACATGACTTCTTCCTGTGCACTGTAGGTATCAAAAGAAATTGATAAAGCTTTGTGTTGCTTTATTTAGGAGGGAAAAAAATACATATTTGGGTAAGAAATGATCCTGTTCATAGCTTCTGACAGGCAAATCTTCGTATTAACTGTGTTCTCTTAGTGAGCCTGTTTCATTGCTGGGTTGAGGAGTGACTTTACTGTCTTGTTTCAGAGCTATCCTAAAGAAATGCCCGAGGGAAAAGTGTAAGAGAAATGTGTTAGAACATTTTGTAGTCTTCACCACTGTTCTTATTTCTGCAATGCATGTGTTACTTCCCATGACTTGCAGAGGAGCTTTTGTCAGGTCCAAAAGAGTAAGCTGGACCTGCAGATACTTAGAATATATAGAAAATTCCTTTGCAGATGTGCTTGGAATGTATTTCTTGCATTGTTTAACAGTAGTTACTAATGGACCGAGGCCTGGAGCAACATTTGCACATCACAGGAGAAGCAGCAATGACAGTTTTAAAGCTATTGGCTTGTTTTTCATCTCTTTCCCTCTGAGTGTGTTAACTTGGCATGGGAGGGACTGTCGCACTGGAGAGCATGTATGAATTTGCCTTTGTTGGCCAAGTCCCCAGGATGCATTCTAGGCTGTGTGCTGGATGGTGACGTGTGAGCAGTGCTGAGATTGTTCAGCCTCGTTCTGTTAAATTGAATCATCAGTTTGGGTTTGGTGACTTTTTCTTAGCTACTGTACAGAAATAGCATTAGGGAATTAAGAAGGCAAGAGAAAGAAGAGATTGCGCATATAGGTAGAGATATCCAAGTCACTAGACATGACTTTTCCAGGGCAGTAAAACACCATCCTAGCTATGCTTTGAAAGACTGGGATCAGGCACAGCCACAGCACCATCAAGGACTCTCTGTTTACCTCTGCTTGTCCTCTGTTACCTGCTGGTGGTTTGGTGGTGGGTGACACAAGGTGAGGGAGTGTCCAAAGGAGTGTCTTCTGATAGATACATAACATTTATTTAATGCAACTTCAGGCTTTTTAGTTCCCTCCTGATTCATGCTCAGTTCTTGGAGAAATGAGTTTTTGGTTGTATCAGAGCCTCTGGACTTTGTGAGATGGTTTAAATCACAACTTGTGCTTGTCGCTTTTAAGCTGTGTTGTAACTTGTGCTCTGGATCAGTGCTGAAGTGTAGTGACGCAGTGGTGTGTTGCCATTATCTGGTGGCAGCGTGACCCACGTTTGCTTTCTAAAGGCTCAGCTGCTCTTCCCAAGTGCTTCTAACCATTTTCCTCTTGTCTCTCATAGTTTGCAAGACAGTCGTCAGGAAGGCCCAGGGAATCCACACTCTGACTGACGGACCATCTCTGGATCAAGCCTTTCTCTATCCAACCGGCAGGCGATTTTAAATCTCCCATAGCTAATTCTAGATGCCCCTTAATATTGTGAGCAAATAGACCGTCTGGTACTAAGCACTCCAACGTTAGCACGTGGACGAAGGAGGCAGCTCCTTGGAGACGTGTGACTTTAGAGATCGCTGTATTTACGGCTCCTCCCTCCTTTATTTTCATTGTGTTCAGACCAATTTCCATGTGGCCCTGTTTGATTTCCAAGTGACATTTTTAGCTAAAATAGTCTTGTGATGTGGTGACTTAGATTTATTATTTTTTTTCCCCTGTTTTTTATGTTTTTGGGGTTTGTTTTTTTTTTTTCCAAGTGGGATAAACTGCCACCTTTGTTCCTGCCCCAGCCCTTCACCATTCTTTGCATAGTCTGCTTGGAGAGGGGAAACTGTCAGTATTTTAGAGTGCAGAACTATTCCACAAAATGCTATGCTCTGACCCTTGCTCCCAGGGTAAGAAATTTAATGGCATGTAATCCGAATACATAATCAGGAGTAGCCAGATATAGTTCTTGGTCTGTGATGAATTGTGATCCGTGGCTTCTGCACGGCATTACCTGGTTCTGTCTTAGCACACATGAATTAAAGGCTGTGCAGAAGCTGCGTGCAGCATCCCCGCGCTTGGGCCTTCAGCACTTAACTTTTGTGTTCCACTTTAGGGGCACGTGGTCCCTTTGGCCTCTGTTGCTCTGTTGTCCTTCAGCTGCGTGTGTCACTTCTACATAGTCATTATGGAAAGTTGCTTGGCACATGTTGCTAAATGATTTTGGCTCCATAATAATAATGATGTGATTTCCTAGACAAGTTGGGGTGTAGCAAAAGCTGGGGTACAAGTAAAGTCTTGGTATCTGAGTCCATCCAGATGCCTGGGTTGGTGGTTCTGCTCAGCAATAATATTCTTCCCATTGTAAGACTGACTAAAATATCTCCTTTCTTACTATAAAAAAGAGCAGCTTTTAAAGACCTGCAGTTGTTTTCTAGGATATCTGTTGGTTATTATAAATCACAAAGGACACTGTTAACATAAAGAGCTCTGGTTATTTAATGAACTTCCAATACTTGCTGTAACTATCCTTTATGTTGATATCAGCTTTAGACAATCAAATAAGCAGAACAGAATCAAAGAAATGCTGCTTTATTAAATACATTTGAGAAGAAAACCCAATTTCCTTGCTTATGCCTAAGGCCCAATGTTTGATTTATCCTTTGTTTTCCTAGTAGCAATCACTTTACGTTCCACTTCTGTCTTTGGCGGCGCTAACATGAAATACTCAATGCCAAGCACAGTCGTGGCTCTGTCACCGCCTTTGAGGCATCTTTGTGGCGTTGACTCCTTCAGCCCTTCACATTCCTGCGAGCAGGAGATCCTGACATGATCCCAGTGAGGGATCCGAAGTGGTTTTGGAGCGAGGGAAGACGAGGCGTGCTCTGGAGGGGAGAGGATGGTGCTTGGTTCCTGGGGGAGGGGGCAGTTTATCCCTTTACTTTTAGTTTGTTCTGTTTGCCTTACTCATGTCAAAGTGCAATAAGCTCTGAATTGTACCAGTAACTCTGGCAGGCTCCTCTCAGTGACCTCAGGTGGCTTTGTGGGGCAGGGGTGGGCTCTGAGGGGTTTTTAAGCGCTCTCACCAGGCACAAATAAAACAGATTTCATGTAGAATACTTAAACCGCATTTTAATCCGTGAGGCTCTTTGGGACCAGGATGGTTTCGTGGCATCTCCTCTCGCTGTTGCAGAAGTAGGCCCCAGTTGTAGTTCTTTGAGTTGCGAGTATTTTAACAGAGAATTCATGCACTGACTTCTGTTCCTGTTTGTCTGTTACGTCTCGAGGGATCCTTACACTTGAGGACAACCTGGGAATACGACACAGCACGCTTGTTCTTTCAGTTCCTGTTATCCAAGAGGCTTTCGAGCCGGTGACACTAATCGCAGTGGAAGCAGATTGTAACATTCCACCCTGCAATCCTTTTCTGATCCTCTGATTTCAGAGTGAGAGCTTTTACACAAAGCTTTCCTGATTAGTGGGGAAAAATGGGAGAAAAACAAGAAGCAGGAACTCCAGCTTGGATATTTCCACCTTTCCCTGCCCTTTTGCTTTCTGTCCTTCCAGTTTAATCCAAAGTGGAAGCATCCCTCAGCCTCGGGATAGACAAATCCTATCACGACCTTCCCACCTCGATGCGTGGTGAGTGTCTTTCATCAGCTTCAGCAGGAACCCCTCAATCTGCCAGCTCCATGAGGGGTTGTTGCTGGGCTGTTGGTCCATTGTAGGGTGATGGTTGGTTGGGGACCCCCTCTCTGCTCCACACTGGGGGTCCGGAGCCTGGTACCTCGCCTCGGGCTGGTTTGTCCATCCCCACTGCCCCGTTCTGCTGGGTTCATCCATCATCGTGCTCTTTCCTTTGGCAACACACACTTTGTAGGATGGGTTAGGTTATCTCGTTGTTTCTTTAAATGTGAGTTTGTGCCTTTTTTTGTCTCCTAAATCTTCCAATACAGGCATATTGGAAACGAAATCTAATAAAATACTAGACAGAGCTTTTTACGCCTCCTTCTCCTTTGTTTTGGGTGCTGATGGGGGGGGCGGTACGCGAAACCCTCCAGAGTCCTCCCACACGCTTGGGGGCGCCACCGCCCTTCCGCCGTCCCGCCCTTGTCACGAGGGCCAATCGGCGCGGGGCGGTGCCGGCCGTGGGCGTGGCCTCTCTGAGGGGAGCCAGGAGGCCGCGGGCCGGGCCGGGAGAGCGGAGGCCGGGGCGCCCGGTGTCCCCTTCCCAGCGCCTCCCGGCCGGGTCCATGGGCATGGAACCGGAGCACCGCGCTGCCGTGAGGGAGCTGAGGTGAGCCGAGGGGTCGGTGGGAGGGGAGCTTGGGTGAGTACGGGGGGGAAAAGTCGCTAAATCGTTACGCAGTTAGGTCGGAATTAGCGAAACCTGTGTTTTTGCTCATTAAGAAGGAGTTTCGCTAATTGGCGGTGTTACATAGTCATCTGGAGTAAAGAAAAGCTGATCTGGTTTGAAAGCGTCGGGACTGGGAGGCTTACTGAGTATTGTTTGGGTCCTAGGGACTTGCCAGAGCCCTACTTAGGTTTAATGAGGGCATTAATGCGATTTAATTTAGCCGCTGTCTCAAATGTGTGGGTTTTGTGAGGAGAAAGGGGCTCGGATAACTCTTTGGCTATTGATTTTACGTTGTGTCTTCTCGTGGCGCCTCCTGAGGTGATAAGTTTCATCTGCTGAGGTGGTGGGTTGTGTGGTGTCCACACCGTGAGCTTGGCTCTGTAAAGGATAATGTCTGTATTGGGAAAATAGAACACCAAACAGTACGAACATTTGCTCAAAGAGATTAAAATTCACCTTAATGCATTATTATTAACACGGGGACCCTAAAAGATTCTTAACTATTGAATCACGTCAGGAATCAGTGACACGAAACAGCAGTTCGCTTGTATTTAGGAATGTGTTGGTGGAGAGCATACCCGAGCCTGGGTTCTGGTGGTAGGGAAAGCTTCTGGAAGAGGTTGAGCCTTTTCCCTTTGGTAAAGGCTGCTCTTGTGGCACCAGTGAAACCTGGTGTTGTTGATGTTCCCTCCTTACCATGGGCAGTAATGCTGTGGCCTGGTGAAGCATCAGCAGACCTTTGGGATTGCATAATGCTGCAGGTTATTTGCTTTGCTTTGCATGGATATTCATGGTTTGGGTTGGAAAGGACCTGAAGATCATCCAGTTCCACCCGTCTGCCGTGGGCAGGGATACCTCACACTAAGCCGTGTCACCCAGGGCTCCCTCATGGTTCAGTCTTTCCTGCAGACATTATAACCTCCAGTGAAACAGAACTGTTAGGGATGTTCTTGACATTTGTACCAGTTAAACCTTTGGTATAAACTCTGTTGCTGCAGTTTCCCCCTGTTCATAGCAGTGTGGATACTGGATGCTTTGAGGAATACGATTTCTGTCAGTAATAAGTGATAACCTCAATATTATTTCAGTTTTGTTTAATCAGGTTATTGCCTTTACAGAAATAGTAAGTGTGGTGTTCCCAAGTGATACACATCTCTGGCCGAACTAAATTTGCAGCATAAATACCTTTTCCTTCCTTTTTTCCCCCTAGAAATGTGTTTTAGGAGAACTTTTGGCTGACTTCAGTGTAGTCTTACAAAGAGAATCAATTGGTGAGAGAAATGATGGATCGCTTTAGGCTGGTGTGCAAGGTCATTTTCCATTGTGTCACCTTGAGCAGGCTGTGGGATAAAAACATGTCCGTAACAGTGGATGTATTGATGAGATTCATTATTTAACTATCATTTAATAGCTAACTATTCACTGATAATATAGGACCTTAAGATGGATGGGAAATTAACAGCTTATTGTCTTTTAAGTCTGTCTGACCTGTAACAAGACTGACTGTAAAGTGAATCCCCTTTTTAGAAGCTCTGATGTTGAAATTACCATCTTATGAAGAAACAGCAAGTCAGAGAACACATGAATGCTTCTGACAGTGCTGGAGGGGAGCAGCAGCTCTGCTTGGTGTTGGTCAGAACTGTGTGTTTGCGTGTTTGGGAGCTGGAGATTATATTTCTGGTAGTCTGCAGCTGGAGGCACATGATTGATTCAAATCAGCAATAAATTCTTTTAAATCTTGAGCTTATAGAATTAACCACCTTAAATCTATTACGAAGAAACAATTCCCTGTGTGAGGCAGGACGTGATTGCTGTTTTTGTACCAATCCAGTGAGTGTAGTGGTAACGCTGCAGGCTTTTCCAGCCTTGCTGCATCTACACTTGTCCCGTTGCTTTAAAAGCATCTCACACGAGTGCAGACTTGATCCGGAAGACCCTGGGCTATCTACTTCTTATATACTTAGGATTTTAAGGAGCTGGTCCTTCAGAGTGTAGTTACTTTTGGAGCACATGGCATCCCCCAGCAGTGAAGATGCATGTCAAGATTCAGCAGCTCTGTCCCTATCCGATTTGGAGAGCCTGCACCACGTCCGCAGCCGGTCCGCCAGTTTCAGCAGCACAGGGTCCAGTGGCCGTTTGCAGCTCCGACAACGAGTAGCCCAGCTTATGGCTTGTGTAGAGGACATCAGCTCGGATGATGAAATTAATGAAGAAGTGTCCCGCACTCTGGATGAAGCTTTCCTTATCTGGGGGAAAAAGCTGAAGGATAAATGGCAGGAATTCAGGTTTTGTTCCCTCTACTGGGGTTTGTGGTGCTAGCTATTAAATAAATTTCTGACTGTTCAAAAGCGACAGAAGTTGTTGTTTCTGTAGCTAGATGCTCTGTGAGGAAATTAGATGCCCTTAGGGTTTAGTTTTAGCATTGGTTTTATGTGATTTTTCTTTGTAGACTACACTTAGTTACCTGGAATGTGGGTACAGCTTCTCCACCTCCTGATGTCAGTAGTTTACTTCAGCTCGATTCACTGGGCACAACTATGGATATGTATGTTATAGGGTAAGTGTATATTTATATTTGCATATATTAAAGAACTTGCTTTGTAAGTTTATTGCAATATTGCTCAATTTCAAACAGCTTTATGTGTGCTTTGGGGTGACTGTGCAATGTGAATCGCTGTCTGGGAGACAGTTTGACATTACTGCTAACAGAAGGTGAAGAGTAGAGTTAGTGACTTAGAACAGAGATGATTTATAGCAAGAAGAGCTTTTCCTTTGTGCTGCTGTTCTGTGACAAAATATAGAATACCTTCTTTTCCAAACACAGTCTTTGGCTGCTGTTTTCTTTGTTGGCATGTGAAGGCATATTCATTTTGATATGAAAGTTGTCCAAAATTCAGCATGTTTAAAACATATTAGTTCAAGTTTATTAGGCACAAGTTGCCATCCTGCTTTACAAACTCTCTTGAGATTTTGGAACCTGGCAGTCAGGTTATTTATGATAACATCTTTTGAGTCTAGCATTGCCTTAAACTCTGTTTTCAGCTGTATATAAGCTGCTTTAACTTGCCTTTTCTCAGTGTTAGATGTGTTAGATTGTGGATGGGTTAAACTGCTTGTCAGAAACTGAACAGCAAGACATTTCTGAGTTATGCTGTTATAAGAGTTATGTGAGCCCTGTTAGGATGCTGTGGTCTGTGTTCTGGAAAGGCTGTATTAATGCTGTCAAAACCAAGTGATACAGCATGAGTAATCTTGATGTCTTCAGCTTACAGGAGGTAAACTCAAAAATCACAAATTTCCTGTCTGACTTGGCATTTGATGATCCGTGGAGCATTTTCCTCATGACTGTATTGTCTCCGTTGGGATATATCAAGGTAATTGTTGCCATCTCTTAAGTGTCACAGCAGTGAAGGAAAATGTCTTCCCCAGCTCCATATAGATGTGTTTTCCTGTCAAGCTCTCCATAAAAGATAAGTTGATGGTGTTTTTTGCAGGTGTCAATCACTTCCATGGTGCACATGTGTTAGAAGTGATTCTTCATCACACTTGTTTTGTCTTGGTTTGTTGATAAAGGCAGTTTAATTTTTCTCTACTAATACTAGTGACCTTAATTTTAGCAGTAACAATTAGACATGGATTTTTAGTTCTCATTTGGAACAGTTGGGCAATTTTGGTGCTTTTGCAGCTCAGCTGACAAGCAGCAGGACGTTGCTCAGATACACTGGCAACAGCATGTGAAGTACTGCAGAACCTGTGATGAATAGAAAAATACCCCTGTCATAATATAAATACATTCTCGAGGAACAGAGTAATGAAGATGATTTAAAATGAAATATGATGTAACCTTACACTCAGCAGCACTCTGGTGGTTTAAATGACAAGATTTTTGGTAGTATCTGAGGCATGGGATCAGCTAGTGTAGTGGCTATTTTAATAATGCAAACAATAAACATAGGAGGATATCCTGAATTTCTCTAATATAGAGATATTAAAACCTTTTGAATGTTATATTGGTTTCCTAAAGCTGTATTTCGGGGTGATTTTGCTGAGATGACTGTATTACTGTATTATGGACTGCATGCCAATCAGACTGAGTAGTTGTGCCATTCTTTTAACTGTAATTAAACAAAACAAAGGACCCATTGGGATTTATAAAAAGAAAGAAAAAACCATTGTTCATTCTGGTGTAAGGCATCGCTGATAAACAGTCAAAATCTGGCTGTGGGCTGACATTCAGGCCCTGTGTACAGGCAATTGAGGAGAATTCCTCGTGGAATGCATGGTTGATTCTGAATTCCGATTTAGAAATGTGGTCCTTTGGACACACTGATGAAAGGATGCTGCCACCTAACGGTTTTCAGGAGGACTTGATCATCTCTTCACAATAAGGCAACTGTCAGGCCAGGTCAGAATCAACACAGGCAGTGAGGAGAGCTTCTGCTAGGACTTGTCTGGGAAGCTGGCAGAGGAGGAGAGGAGCAGTTACCCACTCTTTGCTGACCTGTGACAAGGTTGGGTGTAGAGGGTGTCATCCTTGGGGCATTCTGCCCCTTCAAAACAGGGTCTGTTTTCAGAGTGCTGTGTTGGCTGGTCAGTCAGTTCTTTCCCCATAAACAGAATCATGTCCCCTCTGTGGAAGCTCTTTGCTTAATTTGGCACTAAGTATTGGTGGGAAGAGCCCTGGTTCCAGCAGAGGAGGGATCCATTGTGTTTGGATGTTCAAGACCTACAGAGAAAAGAGGCTTCATATGAATCTTGAGAAATATGTGAGGCCTGGCCCACAGCAGAATGAAACGTAGCAAATAAAGGAACTGAAAGATCTTGGTATCTCCTGAGCATGATTATGGAAAGGAGAATACTGGTTGCTCCAAATGTCTGAACAGACACAAATATTTGTGCATTACCTAGTAACTGTGATCCATCATTTCAATATACTGCTTAGTATTTTGTTGGGTTCAAGGAAAATATTAACACAGATTCTGAACCCATTTAATTGCGTAGATGTGGCGGCAAAGAAAGGAGGAATTCTGTTTTAAATTGGGGCTGAGTTTCTGTACTTCCAGCGTTTGCATAGACAGTGTTATTCTTAATCAGCTTTTATCCTAATGTAGTCTTTCTCTAAGTTCATCCAGCATAAAACTGAACTACAATTAATCTATTTCAGTGTCTGTATTTGAAACTGAATCATTATCATTAAAACAAACACTTAAAATGAATTTTGTCTTTCATGCCAGGACCATTGTAAAGTTCATACATTTTTAATGAAGAGCAAGATTGTTTAGACTATTTCCACTCACACTACAAAAACACCCCAAACCACAAAAAACCCAAACAGTATCTTAAAACTTAAACATCTTTGGAACTGTTTGGTAAATCAGCTTTTACAGGCATTGCAGGCAGGAGTTACTGCTATTTGTAGCTTATGGGTTTTGCTAATGCCCAGAATTAAATGCTGTGCTTTTTAGGCATTTTAATGGCATTTAGAATGATGATTTTTCTGCTGAAGGATGTTTCAATTCAAAGAAGCTGTTGGAGGACTTGTAGGTGTTCCATTTATTATAGATGAAAAACCAAGGATTTGGTTCTTCCTGGACAGACAGAACGATAGAAACAGAAGATTGGTGAGGCAGAAGAAAGGTTCTTAAAGATGTTTGGGCAAATACATGTGTTTTGAGGTCCACTTCAGATTTGTAACATAATGTTGCAACTAATTACTCTCTCAACTGATTAGTTGAGAGATTCATCAGGACCATTTATAAGCAAGTGTACCATAAGGATGTGTTCTCACAGCACAGTGCTGAAGCCAGGTTTGGTGAGGGAATTGCATAACTTCTGCTATGGCATTCTGCACCTAAAAGCTCTTATGAACTAATCCAAGGAATTCCAAATACCTCCCTGGAAGTGACCAGTCCCTCTTTTGTGTCTCTTCCAGCTCTCCTCCGTTCGCATGCAGGGATTGCTACTTCTGATCTTTGTGAAGCACGTCCACCTGCCTTTCATACGGGACCTTCATACCCAGTTCACACGCACAGGCCTCTATGGATACTGGGTGAGGAAGTGTCTGAGACTTGATTACCTGGTTCATTATGTGGTGTGTGCCTCTGCATGGTTTCATGGTGGGAAGGAGGATAGGTGGGTTACTTGAAAGTGAATACTGTTCAGCAGTGAGATTCACTTGTTTGAAGCTTGTGTGCAAGTGCACATGACAGATCATAATTTTACCAACTTAATAACTGATATGCAGCTTGTGTAGGAAGAGATTCAATTCATTTAAATCTAAGTAGCAAGACTGAAAGACGTATAGGTGGTGGTAATAGCTATGCTTGCAGGTATTGACTGTAGTTTCAGAGAACATTGTTCATCTTCCATGCCAGGGCAACAAAGGAGGAGTCACCATTCGCATGTCCCTCTATGGTCACACAGTTTGTTTCATGAACTGCCACTTGCCAGCTCACATGGAGAACACAGAGCAGCGGCTGGATGACTTTGAGAAAATTCTGGAAATGCAGTTTGAAGGAGAGAATATTCCAAGTGCCTTGGAACATGAGTGAGTTGTTCAGACCCTCTTCTGGCTGTAGTGGTTTTATCTGTTCTAGGGTAAACTCGTGCACTGAGGAGTTTGGAGTTTTCATCCATCATTTTTGGTTTGAATGTCTTTTCAGCCTTGACCCTGAATCCTGTGTGGAAAAGGTAACCTGAAAGGTGGAGGTCTATTTTGCAAGACTGTTCTCTTCCAGTCTTGAATTGCATTAAATCTGTTGGTTATGTACTGCACATGTCTTGTGCTAGAGAGCTTCAGAAGCTAAAGCCCATTTATACCAAAAATCCTAAAGCTTGCTATGAAATGTTTATCTTCCTGCATTCTTTTCAAAAAAATTGAAAAAACAGCTTTCCTGTTGTTTGCAACATTGCTGATAATACACTCCAGTGCTTTGGAGTAATTTTTTTTCCTAACAACTATAGAACACCCAAGATGTATCCCTGCTTTCCCAAGGCACTAAACCAGAGCTCTTGAGTTAGTGCATTAACATAACCAACTGCTGCAAAGGTTGAGAGTTTTGTGAATGACTTTACCTACCGTTAAAACTTAATTCTAGCTCTGGTGGAGATGTAAGTCATTAGGAGAAGTTAATTTTCAGGCAGTAATGAGCAAGCAGCAAGAATCAAGTGATCTATTTTGTATTTCAATTCCCTTAAGTTTTTGTTTAGCAGCAGGTGATCACTGTGTGAGTTTATCTGTAGCTCCTTAATGTTTGTTGTTTAAGCTGTAGATTGAGTAGTGTAAGTGATTAGAGCACCTAATTAGAGTAATGGCACATATTGTATTGAATTCTTCTCTCCTGCTAATGGGTTCCTATAAATCTTCCGTGGGTTTTTGCCTTTCTTTTAAGTGTTCTCTTCTGGTTTGGAGATCTGAACTTCCGGATCGCGGATTATGGCATACACTTTGTCCGGGAATCAATAAACAACAAGCGTTACAATCTGCTCTGGGAAAAGGACCAGGTACGATGTCTTAATGTGTTTGGGGGATTGGTTTGGTTTGTTTTTAATGCACACAAACACTGTAGTTAACATTACCTCTGGAGTTTCTAATTTCCATTAAAGAACACAAGTTCAGAGTACACATGAGGTGGAACAGATCTGGCTGTTCCCTCTCTCCCTTCTCAGGCATAACCCCCAATCAGTTGCAGTCCATTTCTGCTTTTCTTTAGTTTCCTACTTGTTTACAATGCTTGTGTTTGAAGTGTTCTTTGAACGTCATGGCTTGTGATTTGTTCCTCACCTTAACATCTTCTCCTTTTTTTACTTCTCCAAAGAATTATTTTTAAGAGAAGCTTATTCTGGAATTTGTTTTGAATAGAACTGCTACCAAACTTTTAAAGAGATCATGTCAGGAGTTCTGGCAGTAGCAAAGAGGCAATTCTGAATTTACCTTTCCATCTATATTATATTGACTGGCGTATTGGATTCTTGGAAGACGTTTTCTCATCTCCGTTCCCAGTTGCCCATTAAGCTCTGATTTTAAACATGATCTTTTAAAGTTACTTTTTCTTTCTGCAGTTAAATATGGCTAAAAAGAAGGAAGCGTTTCTTCAGGAATTCATAGAGGGTCCTCTGCACTTTAAACCCACCTACAAGTTTGACCTTTATTCGGATGTATATGACACAAGGTAAAAGCATAGCAGATGAGTTTAGACATGGAATATTAGAGTGAATGTGGTGCTTGGCCAAATACCACTTTAGTAATGAGTGTACTGGTTAACTGGGGCTATGAAGCAGTTCTGTTAGGCTCATTCAGTGCCACATCAGAAGAAATGAGTATTTCTGGCTGAAGAAGCCTGAGTCTGCTGGTTGCATGAGGGAAGTGGTGAAACAACCCAGCTTTCTTTTTGGAAAGACTGGATTAATAGAATAAACCAGTGTTTGTTTAAGCCACTTCTTTTTTGCTTGTTAATACTAAAAGTGCCCACTGGTGTCAGAAATGAGCAAGGGGAAGAGAGAACTGGCTGCAATTTTCGTTTAAGCATTTCATTTGACAACAAGTTAATGTAAATATGTCTTTATAAATTATTTTAAGTTGAAAGCTGGTTAAGTTTCCAAAGTTTTTCTCTGACACTAAAATCTGTTGTAAAGTATTAGTCTTTATGTTTCAACAGAAGGATAAGTTCCTGTCCAAACAGGGGGTTTGTACTGATCTTTTTCTTTACTTCCAGAGAGCAGAAGTCCCTCTTTTGGTTTAAGTAAGAAGAGAACTTTCTGGATTTCATAGATCAGTAAATATTTCAAAATCAAAGCAATGCTCCTTCCTGAGCTTTTGATTTGATTTTTGTGAAATATTTGAAAATCAGATGACAGCTGATTTTCTTCAGGGATGTTCTGAACCTGTCTGGAAGCTGCAGTGTTATCTCCTCTGCTGTTGCACTTAACATTGGAAGCTTATTCATTTGGATCCAAAGACATTTTACACTGTAATTGAGTGTGAAGAGATATAATGGAACCAGCAGTAAATCCAGTTAACACAAAATACTTATAATAATCCAAACCTAAACATTCTAAGGATGATTCCTAGAGCCATAGCCTGTATTGGCTCAGTTAAAGAACAAAAAACATGCTTGTGCATACTGTGTGCATTCTACTGTTCTTCAAGCAGGTTGGATGGGGGTGCTCAGTAGGTGTCAAGGCGAGCTCCTTAAAAAGTGTGCATTGTATGAAGCACACAGCATTTTGTTATCTTCAGCGTGGATTTTGAGGGTTTGTTTCCCATCTATTACACCTTTTCTTCTCTAAAACAGTGAGTGTATTAGCTTAAGCTGTTGGTTTGGTATTTTCTTGCACAGCAGAGCAGACATCTGGCAGCTCAAAGATTTCTGTCGGTTTATAGAATTCCTGCAGTAAGTGGGATATGGCCCTTTAGTCATTTAAAATCCTTCCACCTTCTTAAAGGTGAGTCAGACTTGATATGGGAAGGGGTAAACCAAAAAGAGCTAAATGGCATTTCCAGATTATGGTGATTCTGATAGATAATAAACTGACAGTTTTCCTTACACATCCTGATCATTAACTTCTATAATTCAATCCCATCCATTCTAATTGCTCTTCCATAGGGTATGATCTTTTCTCCATTTCAATTTGAAGTGATACGTCCATACAGAGAGTTGCTATTAAGTCTTCCTCCCACTACAGAAAGACCCAGGAAAGGCTCATGTCTTCTGTTGTTATGGTATAAAAGGAAACTCTGAGTTACAATTACAGTTTGATGTGTAGCACACTTGCAGGCTGCAGGCACAACTGTCTTGATGATAGAATTCTTCTTTTATGATGGGACAGCAGTAGCTTACAAACTTGAAATGCAGGCTAGTACAATGTAGAGGAATTTGAAATACAGCAGTGATTAGTTCAAGCAACCTGAGTTTGCCTGGTTTTTGTTGTTATAAGAACCTTGTTCTCTAATGTTTTGAGTAATTTTGAACATCATTCACACTCTTCCCACATCCTCCATAAGGTTATGCCTCTTTGCTCTAATAACTGCATTTGAAGCTTGGGGCAGTTGCTGCATTATCTCAGTGTTCTTGCATGGTTTTGTGGAGTGGTTTAGGAGAAAGTATCATTTCCTGTATGAAGCCGACTAACCCACTGAAATTCCCTTCTCCCCTTCATTTTACTCCTCTTTCAGAAACCTGTACAACTTATCTGTGGTAAAAGGAGTTGAGTTCAAATTGAGGAAACCTTGCTTGTAAAGTATATCGAACAGAGCTGTAAAATGAAGCCTGGATGTGATTCCCTTCTCTTATTAATATACATCTGACAATCTTTCAACTTTTGAGTAGATCTGTCTCAGTATTTTTAGCTTTTGGCAGCTGTTTTTCACTTCTCATTTTGCCTTTACCTTACACTCTTGCAGTGAGAAGAAAAGAAAGCCAGCGTGGACAGACAGAATCCTTTGGAGAGTGAAGAACCTCTGCCAGCATGCACCGAAAGGCAGCGAATTCTCTGAGGAGCAGCAGACAATTTCTGTTACTTTGAATAATTATATCAGTCACATGAGCTATGGCATCAGCGATCACAAACCTGTTACAGGAACGTTTGGGCTTGAGGTGCTTTCCCACTTACGTCCTTAAGAAAACGTTGCTTTTACTCAGTGTTGCCTTACAGAAGCTGGGTTTAAGTCAATCTCTGTTTCATTCTGATTACAGTGAAGGCAGCAAATGGCTTTCAGGTTATTTCCATTCAGTTCAGGGTCCCACAGCAGATGTGGCAGAGAATAACTTGAAAAGAATAACAGAAAGCATGACAAACATGACTCACTTGAAGCTCTCTTCTGTCTAGTTGAAGCCTCTTGTATCAGAACCTTTGGTCACACTGAGTCCTGAGGGCGAGTGGAGCGCGGAACACGATGTTCTCATCAACTATTCTGCAGTGCCTGAATTCCCAAGCAGTGCTTGGGACTGGATTGGCCTCTTCAAGGTAATGTTACCTCTTCATGGCTCTTTAATGAAGATGGTGAATATGACTGGAGGAGGTTGATAGTCTTCTGTCACAACTTTGACTTTTCCAGATAACAGGTTTTTGTTTCCTTCAGCAGGCTTCTTCACAGGTTTCTGTCTTTCTTTGCAGGTAACTTTCAAGCATGTGAATGACTATGTTACTTATTCTTGGGTAGAAGATGATGAAATTTCTTCTAACAAAGATGGTAAACAAGTAAGCCAGTGGTATTTCTTTCTAATGTTGTTTCCCTTAGAGTAGTATTTAAGGTCTGTTTGTTCCATATCCCCTTTTGCAGGTTCTGTATCCTCTTTCCCAGGCAAAGCAAATTGGAAGCGATACTATTGTTTAAAATCCCTCTTCCTAATTCTTAGTAATTTCCAGGTAGTGTAGCACACCTTCTCAGGGGGGATCATGTTGCTTAAGGGAGTTTATGAAAAAGGAATTTATTGCTGTAGTGGCTTTTCATTGTATTAAAAACTACTGTCTTTTTATATTTTGGTTTTTGCCCCTGAAGTAAGTAACTGGCCATTCTTTTAATCTTTTAAAGTTACTTGATGTAGCCTAAACATTTATTATGTGATTTTCATTACAGTTGTAAGTATATAATGTTACGTTCATTATGCTCTTCCATGTAATACATTGCCACCAGGAGGCAGCTCATCTCCCTCCTTTCTGCCCTCGTGGCCTTGCTCCTTCCCCTCCAACAGCTCTAGGTTTCTTCTTGCTGAACCCAGTCAGCTCACTAACATGGGGAGGGATATTCCCTTCATGACTTACTTCTGTCTTCGTCTTTCTTAGCTTATATTTAGCTTTACACTTGCTTATAAATAGTAAATACTGACTTTTGTGGTGTCCTGAGTAGCAGAAATTGCTTTTTTGTAAGCTTTCTCTGTGGAAGTTGCCCATTGCCTGTTCTTGCTCTTGTTGACAGGTTTACATGAGTGCTGCAGAAATACCAGATGTGGGAGGAGAATTCTTGCTTTGCTTTTATAGCAATAATCTGCAATCAGTAGTTGGTGTCAGCCAGCCTTTTCAGGTAATGTACTGGGAAGCTTTGCTTAATGTTGATGTGAGTTTTTTTTTCGTGTGCAGCTGAACATAGGTGTTGGCAGCAGAAGTAATTGCAAAAAGGATATGTCCTGGCTAACATCCCATGAAAGAATTTGCTGATGTGCTAGAAGACTGAGTAACTATTATAACAATATGTTGTTGTAGTGAAATAAGAGGAGTTTCTCTCTGTCAGCTTTCATTATTGGAATTTCAGGCTCTGTCATGTTAGGTCCCTAGTTTCTGTAAAGATGAGAACTCACCTTAGCTTAAATGCTGACAAGTTTCTGACAGGCTGTTTGCTCCTTGTGCTCTGTTCTGTGGTAGTTTTGCACAGAAATGTTTCCTATGTATTCAGTGAAACTCCATTACCTTGGGGGATACAGTAATGAAAGTTCCTGGTATATCTCAGTGCTGCTGTTCATATTTTTCTTTCTGCATTGGTGAGAAACATCCCAGAGACCAGTATTTCTGTTTTCTCTGAGCTTAATATCTGCCACACACTCTGCAGGATGGCTGTCAGTTGTATGTGGATACAACACACCATCTGCCTTTCTTTTTGCGTGACACTTAATGCTTTGATACCAGTGTAGTGGTATCAGGTTTTATTTTCCTAATTCCATAATTGCTGCTTAGATGCATCACTTTTAATTTCCTCAGTTTCTAGCAAGTGTGTAAGACATCTTTCTCTAATGGTGTATTGTTAGTATAGGGCAGCACAGTGTTTCTGAACGTGTTAATTTGATTTTTAACTGCTGTCTTTCTTCCAGATTCAGCCTAACAGAACATTAATAGGAAAGGAGCTGCCACAGGAAGACGACAGTTGGATGCAGAGACCTGACAATCTGGAATCACACGACGAGTTCTGAAGCAGAAAGGGCATTTAGTGGTCCCGATTCAGGAGTCAGATGATTCTTTATGTCTTAGTAAGAATAAAAGCTTATAATCAGAAGATGGAGTAAGACAGTGCAAGTAAGACAGGTAGGATTGTTCCGAAACTTTGTAAGCTCATAGGAGATAATTTATTGCAGAAACAGGTATTTTTATTGGTATGGAGAGAGTAACTCTCTTGCACTGGAAAAGAACCATAGAAGTAGTACCTGCTGAATGCTGTATGTTTTAAGATGATAGACATTTCTAGTACAAGGATTTAAGCTAAGGAAGTTGTGATCTGTATTAGATTTTTGGGCTTGCTTCTTTTTTTTAGAGGATATTTTATTTATGACACAATAGTTACTATACTGTAACCCCTCAATTGTTGATTTCCAGATCTCGAGTTTAAATGAAGTTATTTAAGAAGTTATTTATTAGATAGAGCAGGTTTTACAGTTTTATTTGCCTTTCAAACATTAGCTGGTTGCCCTTGGGGAAACACATGTAGCAACAGGTCACATGAAAACAACATCTTTGGAGTGTTTAAAGTCTCTTTTGGTGGTAGATCCCATTTCTCCATGCCTTACTGATAGCAGTTTGTAGGATTTTCCAATTCTCAGTTTTCCAAATTGAGATACATTTATCAAAATGCACATTTCCTGCTTTTTTATAAAGCAAATTAGCAATTTGCTTATCACATTTCTCCCTCTGATTTAAGAGAAGTAAAATAACCAGGATCCCACGGTTTCTGACACCAGGTGAGCAGAGCAGAGCTCCTGAAGCACTGAGTGGCAGAGCTCATGGTTTTAACCCCAACTGGTTTTTGTTGTCGTAGTGAGTTTGAAAACATAAAGTCAAATTTAAGTCCTTCCCTGGTACCATCCTGCCATATCATTGCTACTCTTGCTACAGAGATGATGTGATTGTAAATGGGGAATTTCTGTGGAACAGATTCTTTCTCATGGCATCATCTCTGCTATGAAAATTGTAAATCTCTACAATTTATAGCAATATAGGACCTGAAAAATTCCTGTTTTTCTAGAGGTGCTTAAACCTTTAATGTATCCTCCCACTGGAGGGTGGAGGTGGACTAAGAAACATTACATACCTTTAAAAACCTGAAAGGTAGGTAGTTATCTTCAGAAATGGTTTTGTTTCTTGATGAGGAAATGGAGATCTTTGGAAAGGATTGGAAGAGACACCAACACTCCACAGAATCTCAGAGTGCAGTGCTGGAAAAGAGCACTTGTGAGTCTCCCATGTTGTAGATACACAACCTCAAGCTACCTACCACGTGTGGTACGTAAAGTTACTAAACTCTCTTCCGTTGCTTATGGATGGAAGAGAGAAAGTTTGGCTCACATGGAAGAGCAAAGCAAAGGATGTTGTTGTACTTACGCTGGAATATTGCTTCAGAACCCAGTGGATTCCTTTGTGCTCTTTTCCTCAAAGCCTTAGTTTTTACAGGATTCTTTTGAGATCAGAAGTTAACACCTTGAGGTGACGTTTGGTTTGCAGTTACTTGCTTACAGTATTCACTGTATAAAGTCTTCTGAGGTCTGGATGTCTTTGTATGCTGTGGAAACTGTTACATAGGCTAACTGGGCAGGTAGTTGCAGTGTGGAGTGTAAGAACACTTGACTCTGTACATTTTAGTTAGTGGTATCTCAGCCTTAATGCTTGGTGTTGGGAATTGTTTCCAGTTGTAAGTAGTGAGGGCAGGTTCAGAGGATACTGTGTTCATTGCATGGATTAAAACTGTGTAAACTTGAGGTTTACACTCTATACATTCCTCTTACACTTTGGAACAATAGGAGAAACGGTTTTCACATCTGCCCTGGTCTTACAAGAATTAGTTTTGCACTAGATCTGTCAGATGTGTGACTTTATGGCAATTGAGGGCATCAGACAAATCCCTACTGAATTGCAAAGGACTTCTGCAGTTCTCAAGTTGTACTCTCTCCGATTTCACTTGTGGAACTGTGTTACCGTGCTCCATGCAAGGAGATTGTATGGAGGGCTCAGAGAAGAGTGGTCTTTGTACTCCAGAGCACAGCTGGTGATTTATTGTGGACCAAGATCCAGTTTCTTCTAATCAGGGTGCATCTGCTGTTCATGAGCAGCTCAGAGGGGGAGCCATACAGCCGCTTTACATGAGCGAGGAACTCAAGATCCTTAATGTCATGTGAGAGCTGATAACCCTCTCTCAATCACTGGACACAGAAGCTGCATTTTGTAAACTAATCCTTTGACCCACAGGACTTCACTGAGAATGCCCACAGCAGCTGTGATTGAATCTGCTTCAGTGGTAGTAGGACACTGCACACAACTGGGTACTTCCTTCTTCAGTATTATGCACACAGGGGCACTTTTGTTACTACTGTTACCTATGGTAGCTTTCCAAACTATTCCATCACCTGTAATGATGCAATTTCTGATGATTTTTTCTTAAAACACCTTTCATTGGATGCTATAACCACTGGAAATGTTTTTATACTCACATGGTTTCTTTTCATGTACCACTAAAATAAATCCTGGCAGTGAAGTGTTCTACATGGCCTCGACTGATTTGAGAACGAGCACATTGGTTTTGGGTGGGGGGAGCATGAATTGGTGAATGGTGACCTTTCTCCATGGAACTTTGGTCATGTTTAATGCATAGATACAACAGTATTCCAGTGTTTTAGAATGGAATTCTGGTTTGGATCAAGGGGGTTTGATATTTCCTTGTAAAAATGCTTAAACTGCTTTCTCAATTTTGGAGTCCAGATTCTTCTAATTTCACTTTTTCACAGTGAATATTTCACAACCTGATTCGAGGTCTTTATTCTTGTCTCTGTGAAAGATCTGCTACATTATACTTCATATTTCAAATTTTATACGTTTTAATATACATTTGCTATCACATCATTTCCATCGAAGGATAACTTGTGGTTCTGGGCAACCTGATCTAGTTGAAGCTGTCCCTGCTCATTGCAGAGGGGTTAGACTAGATGAGCTTCGAAGGTCCCTTCTAACCCAAACCATTCTATAATGCTATATGCCTACCAAGGAATGTTGTCCAGTATAGCCTCATTTGACTTCCATATATTTCTGATGCCTGGCTAGCTCAGGATGTGCAGGGTATCATTGCACATAGATAGTGCAGCTCTCTGTAAACAGGAAATACTTCCAAGATGTCTTGCGTGTTTGTTAGACCCTAAAAATACGTTCAGATAAAGCCCATTGTTTCTACTACCACTGCTTCCTTCTTTGCTCTTGGACACTGAGTGACACTCAGATGAACTTGGCTGAATTAATGTAGTGCAGTGGAAAGGCCACTGGAGCAAAGCTTGAATTAGGTTTTCCTTGAGAGAGGAAGCCTTTTGAGAACTCTGCCTTACTGACAGAGTATTTCCGATGGCCCTTTTTGTCCTTGGATATAGGGACTTGTTACTTGAAAGGGATTGAAATGAAGCAATTTCTTCTGTAATAACAAGATACAAAGATTCTGGTACTCGTCACTGCATGGTGTTACTTAACTTTATAACTCATGCATTAAGCAGCCAATATCCTAGTCTCCTTATAGCTGTTTTTTCTTGAAAGAGAATGGAGGTGTTTGTGTAAATATGGAAGAAGTATTTGAAGCCAGTTTTCTGTGTGCACAGCTTGCTGTCATTTACTCTCTTTAGGCATAAACTCAAACACTGGAGAGCTGTGTAGTGCACAGTAGTGCAGAGTGAGTTACTCTGTGTGGCTCGCTCATTGAGCCAAGGCAGTGGCAATCCCCACCCAGTGGATCTGCGCGGTGCACATTTAGTTCCACTGGAAACTGATCTACTTGGGAACTACACTGAGTTTGTCTGTTTAATTGCTTCAACTTAAGAAACATCAGGTTTCTGTGTGTGCATCCCACTCCCTGTATTACAGTGGAGCTGTCATCTTCCCCTTGCAAGGTCCCTGCAATTAAAAGAACATCTCCGATGTGCTATCAAGAAAGTAGGAAGAGAAGTCTGTGTGGGAGAGTCGAGCTCAGGTTGGAAGGATTCCTGGAAGACAACCTCGGAATGCAGACAAGTGAGAGGAAGTGCAGAGGTACAGGAAAATCCTGAAAATCAGAATTTTCTGGCACCACAAAGAGAAGAAAACCACGATGACAGACATTTTAACCTGTGACCCTTTCTTGGAAACTGACAGTTATCAAATACCAGCCTCAGCATTGCTTATCAGACAGGAGCTTCACTGTAACTGCAGTTCCCCTCTTCTGTTTTGTTCTCTCTTACATTTTTCACCCTCTGTCTGCTTTCTTTATCCTTTCCTTTTTTCCCCTCTCATTCTCACTTGTAACCCATTTTCAGAGGGATTTTTTTTGCACATGATTCTGGTCTCTGAGTCACAGAATCATTCCAGTTAAACAGCTCTGGTGTTGTGGACTACTCCTCTTTGTCGTTTCTCTGCATAGGAAGGGTAGATAAGAGGCTATCTCCTCTTGCTCCATGTGTTGCTCCACGTTACTTGGGTGGGTTTGTTTGGGGAAGTGACGGTGATGGTTTCTTCAGATGTGATGAAATCTTTTTCAGTATTGGGAAGTGGTCAAGGAAATACTTATTGGACTGGAACCATCTTGTATATAACAGCTAAGGGATGTTAATTGTAATTCCAGATACACAACATGGGAGAGTGACAGGCCATCTCCTTTCAATTGCAGAGCAGAGTGGTGTTCCCTGTATCTGCTCTGGAATGGCCAGGGGCTCCATCATAACTGGATGGCTTTTTGACAAGCAGCATCTGGAACTGGTTTGTAGTAAATTTAAAACTCAAACGTGGCTATTCCAATAAGAGAGAAGGAATTGTCTCCTCACAGCAGGTCTTAAAATACCTGACATTTAGCCTGATCACAAGCAGTACATCTTCATCTGTTGAGGGTGTGCAAAGGGAGGGTGGTAGGATTACATACTGCATGGATGGATGACATGTCTTACACCAGTGTTCACCACATTATTTTTCCTCATGTTCATAGTAGGAATCTTTGTGCAGCAAAGTACAAGTTAATTTCCTTTGCCATGATCAAAGATTCACTTGATAATGATTCAGTTCTACAGCAATTTGAGGAACTTCCTGTCCTTACCATGGGAGCAATCAGTATTTTCCATTGCTCTATCTCTAAACCAAGGATCTGGGGGGCTGAGAGGAAGAATCTTTTCTACATAAAACGTCTTGGTAGATGTGTAGAGTCTAACATATGATTGTTTCGTGCTAACACCTCTGAACCAGCATCCGGACTTTTCTAAGCCCATTGGGACTAAAGTGGAACATCAACAGTTTGCGGCAATAAACACGAACATAAATTCAGGCTTCTTGGAACTGTCTCAACACATTGTAACCCATGGAAGCTAGTCTTGAACTTAATTGTTGTTTCAACTCACACCTACACTTGCTATAAATACAGAGGTTCGTCTCTTCCTCTCGCAACAGGGCTCTGAACCCAAGATTGCAGTTAGTCGAGGTCTTCTCCCAGGCTACTCGGGTGCTGCTGCGCTTTGAAACAAGAACTATCCATAAAGAATAGAGAGATGCACTAACTTCCCTGGGAAAAATGGAGCTGCAGATTGAACTTATTCCTACAGGAGAAATCATCCGCGTGGCTAGTCGCAGTGGAGGATGCAAGACTGTAAGCCTGTTTTCTTTATTGTCTTTTTGACCTTCTCATGGTGGTAGTTACCTGATAACCAACGTGGTCCCTCCTGTTCTGAACTGAGAGATGTTGGCACAAAAATGTGCAGCTTCTGCAGCACTGGCTGGTCATTGGGATGCCTGTCGCTGTGTTGTGAACAGTTTTCTCTCACTAGGATGAAATGTGTAGCCCTGAATGTTAATGTTGAGTGACTGGGAGCATATAAAGAGTGTTTCCTGTAGAAACACTTGGGTGTACCAGAGTTGCAATCAGTGTTTGGCCTGGCCATATTCATTCTGTTGGAATTCTGGAAGCACTTTCCAACTACAAAGGAAGGGAAAGAGCTTTGAAGAGTGTTTTGATCCTCTTCAATATTGATTGTCCATGCTGTCACTGGGTCCGTGCCCTGAATGTGGTAGGAAGGTTCACACATCAGGAATTCAGTGGCAGAGGAAGATATAAGTGGAGTGTTATTGATGGGTTGGGTTGGAAGTTCCAGCCCCCTGCAGTGGGCAGGAGCACCTTACACTAGACCAGGTTTGTATGTGAGGGATGGAAAATCCCTCAGCTGATTATTTCCGGTTTGATGTGGTGGACATCAAGAGCTAGGTGCTTTTCTAAGGATAATTTCAGTTTTCAGTATTGGGAATGAATGGGAATCTGTGTGTTTTGCTGCAGGATGTTTTCTAACTGGATTTGTGTCCTTTTTAAAGGAGTTTAAAGAGAAGGAACTGTGTAGAAGCCCTTTAAAAACATCCCTAAGTAAAACTTGGAATTTGTATCTCTTTGTAATAGGTACTTCAAAACCGTCATAGGGTTCAGCTGTGGCTGCAGGTTGTGGTGGGCAGAGGCACTTCTTGCACCTCTCTGTGTGTTGCTCCAGTTTCCTTACGTTCTCTTTCTAGTAACTAATGTGAAACTCCACCTGAAGGTTAGCAAGGACATTGTGCAGGTGACAGCTGTTGGGTTGTCAGAGATACCTGAGCGCTCTCAGAACTGGAGAGAGAGATGATTCTGATCTTTGGGTTTCAGTAACTGATCCAGGATTGTTACTGACTGACTTGTAGCAGCAGTAAGAGGACACTGGTGGGACTGAGCTGTCGTTCCCAGAGGGAACTGTTCCTTTAAACAGTATCCCAACTAGTATGTGCCAGGGTCCTGGGAGACCTCAGAGAGACAATGTATTAGTTCAGCTTTCTAAGCAGTTTCAAGTACTCATAAGAAGCCCATAAACTCCAGTTCGCTGCTTTGAGCACAGCAGTGTGTGCTTGTCAAGTACTGCTGCTGCTGCAGGAATGGCCAGAGGAGGGAAGGGTCTTACGTGCTGGGCACAAACAGAAGCTTGTGGTTGACAATACTTCAAACTGCTGCACGAGCGGCAAGCGCAGAGCTTCACTGTTGCAGCGCAGTGTGCTTCAGGCCGTTGGAATTCAACGCGTGCAGAATTCCCTGTGGATCCTGGACTGCCTCCGGTACCCCACACATGGCCGAGATGAACCGGGCTGCCTGTTGCCGCTTGGAGAAGCCAGAGACCTGAACTTGCGGAGCTCTCTGGGGAGTCACTGCAGAGTGACCTTCACGTAAGCACACCCCGCTCATGCTTCCCACCAGCCAGGAGGGAATCACCATCAGCGTCCGCGCTCCAGCCGCAGGACAACGGGTGCTGCGGGGCTCGGCAGCAGCGGGAACCCCACCCGCTTACCGGCAGGATGCGGTTGTGCCGAGCAAGGCGCTCAGCGCCGCCGCGCTCCCCCGGGGGTCCCGCTGCCCGCCCCGCGGAGCTGACGGCAGGTGAGGGCGGAGGCAGGGCCGCGGCCGCGCTCACTCCGCATGCCCGGCGCTCGGACATGCTCACTAGCGGCACGGCGCGGCGCGGGCTCCCGTGGGCAGTCGCCGCCGA